CCAGAGAAATTATTCTGCTTTAGTTTGGAATTTTACCCTATGTTTGCCATGAAGCAGTAGTCAAGGGGTGGAATCTTTTGGCATTGTAAGTAATTATCAGTCAAAAAAATAAATCTTTCTAACAACTTTCATTTTCAATCAGATCCAGTCATCTAAGCCAGGTCTCCGGTGATCTTATTTTGAAGTGGTTTGAATTCTCATTTCTTTTTACAGAGAGTCATAAAATTAGAGATGGGAAAGAACTTTCTGATTGCATCACTTTTTCCACCCTTTCGGCCAGTGTGATCTCCCTCCCTGCGGCATATTCCCTGGTGTTCCATTCAGCCTAGTTTAAGATAATAAGACCAGTGAGGCTTCTTGTCCAGGCCCCTCTGGGAAAATGTCCCACGGTCCTTGACATGTGGATATGCTTTTAGACATGCAAGCTGAAGTTTTCTCCTGCTTGGAGACTGCTTCACTATTAAGTTCAATCTCTTTTCTTGTTGTTCCTTGCTTCTAAACCTTCCAGAACTTTTCTCTGTTCAAAATAGCCTGTCCATGTTGTGAACAAAAAAAATCACTGTACACACATGTATGGTTTTGTCTTCTTATTCTTCCCATTCGAAATGACAACGTTATTTAAGGCATTTCCTCATTATTAACCGTGTGTCTAAGACATGCCTAAATTTGAAAGGCTCATAAATCTTACCTATAAATTAATCTCGTAAATCCTTAGCCATTTCACAGACTCGGTGACTACAGCTTCTCAGGATCTCGTTGGTTTCGAGACTTTTCACAAGTCCAAGAACAAGGTGAGGATTCTATGAACATTTGTTTTTATGATGGAGAGAACTAAATTAATCAAAGTCCTTGGCTTATGGTGCATTGCCATCATTGGTCTACACCTAGCCCATATTATAATCATGACATTTATTCGTTTATGAGTGATGCAGTGAACACTCATTAACCCACACACAGCCGGAGTACTAGGATACTGACAATTATGTGTATTTATCTGTGTGCTTTCCTATCTTTCATCCCCTGCCTGCTTTCTCCAGACATACATTAATCTGAATTTTCTCTTTATCATTCATTTGCTTATTTAGATGCGTCTTATAACACACACACACACACACACACACACACACACACACATCTCAGCAATAGATGGTTATTGATTTTGTACTTTATAAAAGAGATTTCTTTTGTGGGGTTCTCTTTTAGTTATGGAGGAGTAAGCGTCTAACAGACTGAACCTCCCACAAATCACTATAAACAAAAAACAACTACCTAAAAGCTTTGGAGAGTACACAGAAGCAGGTATACTTTTATAGGGGAGTTGAAAGGTAGAGGAAGCAACTTCCAGAGTTTTCCATTTCTGTGTTTTTGCCCTGAGGGTAGCCACGGTTGAGTATAGTTGTGACAGGTAGGGCTAAAATTTCAGCAGAGAGCCTGCACTCTTTTTCAGAGGAGGAGACACATGAAGGAGCTCAGAGTAACCAGAGCCACCAGGGTGTGGCAGGGGGCAGTGGAGAGGAGTGGATCCTAGACAAGAGAGAGAGCACCAAATAAGAGGAACACCAAATTCTGTGTATAAACTCTGCAAAGTCCATGCCCCCACCCGCACCCCGGAGCCATGCAGGTGTGGGCAGATTGAAAGCAATCTGAACTGAGATCCGAGCAACTGCCCATCACAGATGTCAAGATTCACACGTTCACAGAATAACAAAATCTCACACAAAGTCTTTCAGAAATTAGAAGAGGAAACAGTTCCCAACCCATTTTATGGCCAGCATGATATTAATACCAAAATCTAACAAAGACATTACCAAAAAAGTTACAGAATAATATGCCTCATGAACAGACACTAAAATACTTTACCAAAGATTAGCAAATCAAGTCTAACAACATTAACAAGAAAGGTTAATATATTATGACCAATTCGGGTTTATCCCCAAAATGTAAGATGAATGTAACACAAAAATATCAATCAGTCTAATTCACTCTGTTAACAGAATAAGCAGGAAAACCATGACCAATTCAATAGATGCAGAAAAAGCATGTGAAGAAACAGCACTTTTTTCGTGATGAAAACTTTCAGCAACTAGGAGTAGAAATGAACTTCATCAATCCAGTAAAGGACCACAAACCTGCAGTTAACATCATAGTTGGTGGTCAGTAGTGAGTGCTTTTACTCTAAGAGCAGAAATTAGGTAAGGATTCCTGGGCTCACACTGCTATTCACCATTGCTGTGCAGTTCCTAAACAGTGTGATAAAACACACACACAAAAATCAAAGGAATGAATACTGTAAACAAAGAAGTAAAATTGTCTATTTTTGTAGATGACATGAGTGTTAATGTAGAAAATTCCAAGAAATCTACAAAACAACTATTATTAGAAGTAATAAGTGAATAAGAAGAAGGTTGAGGGATACAAGGTTGATTATCAGCAAAAAGCCCATTGTACATTTTTGTACTAGCAGCATAAAATTGAAAGTGAATTTTTAAAAATGTTAATTACAATAGTACCAAAACCTTAAATGCTTAGGAGCAAATATAACCGAAGATCTTGAGGATCTCTTCACTGAAAACTAAACAACAGTGCTGAAAGAAATTAAAGAAGACCTAAAGAGATGAAAATGTACCATGTTTGTGAATTGTTCAGTTCTCCCCAAATTGATTTGTAGATTCAGCTCAATCTGTTGATTGAGTCAAAATCTCAGCAGGCTTTTGGGTTTTGGAACTAAATAAGCAAGATGATCGTAATATTTATTTGAAAACAAAAAAGATTTGGAATACTCAAAAGTAATTTAAAAAAATAAAAGTTGATGGACTTACATAAGTACCTGAATCCAGACTTACTGTAACACTGTTACTAGTCAAAAGGAAGTAGTATCGGTGAAAAGTAGACATATAGATTAATTTAAAACAAAACTAAGTTTAGAAATAGACCCACGTGCATATGGTCAAATGAATCTGACATAGTGTCAAGGCAAATTAATAGGGAAACAAACTTCAGTAAATGGTAATTGGACAAATAGATATCAGTACAGAAAACCTTGACCCTTACCTCACATATAAAATAGATCTTACACCTACATAAAAAAAAAACTAAATCTGTGAAACTTCTGGAAGAAAATGTAAATCTTTGCAACCTTGGGGTAGGAAAAGTTTTCTTGGGTAGGACATACAAAAAGCATGGACCATTAAAGAAAATAATGACAAACAATACTTCACCAAAATTAAAATTTTTTTGCTTTGAAAGATACCATTGCAAAAATCAAAAGGCAGTCCACAGTCTGGGGGAAGAACTCACTGTATGAACCTGGAAATTATATAAATCTCTATCTAGAATATATAAAAGACTCTTACAACCCAATAAGAAGACAAATATCCCCAATAATAAGTGGTCAGAAGTTTGAATTGATTTTTTATAAAGGGATACATCCAAATAGCCAATAGACATGTGAAAAGATAATCAAAATCATTAGTCATGTCTGAAATGCAAATTAAAACCACAACAAGATATCACTACATACCCATTAGAATTATTACAATTTAAAAAGCTAACAATACCAATAGTGACAAATACTTGCAGTAATAAATAGAGCTCTTATACATGGTGGGTATGAATATAAATTGGTAGAACCTCTTTGGAAAACTTTTTGGCAGCTTCTTAAAAAGTAAACCCACACTTAGCATACAACCTAATCATTCTGCTCCTAGGTATTTACCCAAGACAAATGAAAATATATGTCCACATAAAGACTTAAACACAGATGTTCCTGGCAGGTTCATTCACAGTAACTGAAACCAGGCATATATTCATCGACACAGGAATGGATAAACAATTATGATATAGCCATACACTGGAATATTACTCAGCAATAAAAAGGAATAAACTTTACTAATACCTGGAGCAACCTGGGTAGGTCTGAAAATTATTATATTGAGTGAAAGAAACCAGACACAAAGCATTCTATTTGTATAAAATTTTAGAGAAGACAAACTATTCTAAAGTGACAAGAATATGAGTGGTTGTTTGGATGCAGGGCAGAGGGAAGGATAGACTGCAAGGGCTATGAGAAATATTTTGAGAGTGATGAAAATGTTTTATATACTAACTGTGTCCATGTTTCCTCATTATAGTTATGTATATATCTGCAAAAATCTCATAAAACTGTACACTTTGAATGGATACAGATTATTTTACATAAACTTTATCCCAATAAAACTGATTTTTTAAAACGATATTAAGCTGAATGTCATTTTCTGGGGCTTATTTCATTCAACATTTATCAGTATGATTTATCAAATATTTGAAGAAGGAAGAAAGGAGTATTTATATCAGTCATTTCTCTCACAGGAGGGAAAAAAGAGGGAAAGAAATCCAAATCATCTTAAACAAAACAACCAGAATTCTGAATTTCTTATCTAGCCGTCTTAGGTACCAGAGAATGGCCTTTCCAGAACCAAGCTTGCCATAACTTACATTCAAGGCTATTGCTGCTTTTTTTTTTTTTTTTTTTTTGAGACAGAGTCTCACTGTGTTGCCCAGGCTAGAGTGAGTGCTGTGGCTTCAGCCTAGCTCACAGCAACCTCAAACTCCTGGGCTCAAGCAGTCCTGCTGCCTCAGCCTCCCGAGTAGCTGGGACTACAGGCATGTACCACCATGCCTGGCTAATTTTTTCTACATATATTAGTTAGCCAATTAATTTCTTTCTATTTATAGTAGAGACGGGGTCTCGCTCTCGCTCAGGCTGGTTTCAAACTCCTGGCAGAGTGCTAGGATTACAGGCGTGAGCCACCACCACCTATTGCTACTTTTAATAGTCCAGAAAAACTTCAATTTATATCAGAAACATTCTCTTATCTATCAAGTTATGCAGCTGTTTTGTTTTGTTTTAAATCTTGGAGCAGCAAAGCAGAATGAGCATGTTAGTTTAAACTCTTTTGGTTGTAAGTAACAGAAATCCAACTCAAAATGACTTACACAAAAATGGGAAATGACTGGCTTACATAATTTAGAAGTCCATGGGTATGACTGACATCAGGCATGGCTTGATCCAGACACCCCCATGTCATTGGAATCCATCTCTGTTTCTTGGCTGGGTCTTTAGATGTTGGCTCTAACTGTAGACAGACTCCCCTGTGGTGGCTGTTGGCTGTTTCAGCTTTACATTCATTCAGGAGATTTTGATTGTTTCAACTTGATTTACATATCCTTCCCTGGACCAATCAGTATGGGAAGGAGAGTGGAATGCTCTGATTGGCTACGCCTAGTCATATGCTTCTTCCTAAGCCAGACCGGATGTGAGTTGGACCACACCTGTACCGCATGAATGAACAGTGGAATAGGGGTGAGTTTTCAAAGGAAGATCAATGTGCTATTAAACAGAATAAGGTGGATTGAATGTTCCACAGGAAAAAATAACGCCTGTCCCCTCTCAAATACACACACACACACACACACACACACAAGATAAGTGATACAGTTAAGAAGAGGAATCTTGCCAGTGGTAAACTTTTTAAGTTTCTGGTTCTATTTGTCTTGCAGCCTCTTTTTCCAAGGACCGTGGCCTTTTGTTCATCCCGGTATCTTTGTTTTGGGCACAGGAAGCTAGAAATACTCTCAACAGTAGGTGGTGGTGATGATGAATTGAAAATCCTGGAGTTGTAATTGCCTTTAAGTTTACATTGGGCCGAGAAATCCGACAATGTGACTGTATTGGTTATCTACAGCTGCGTAAATGAAACAAAACAAAACCCACAAAATGCAGCTGCTTAAACAACAAATGTTTATCTTATAGTTACTGTGGGTCAGGAGTCAGGGCACAGCTTAGCTAGGCTCTCCAGCTCACAGTCTTTCTCACAGGACTGTAATCAAGGTGCCATCCAGAGCTGTGGTCTCATTTCAAGGCTTGACTTGGGTGGAATTCACTTCCGCGATCACTCAAGTGGTTGTTGATAAGTCGCAGGTTGTTGGACTGAGAGCTAAGGTTTCTCGTGGTTTTCTGCTGACTCCTGGCCAGGGCCCTTCCTCAGTTCCTTGCTGTGTGGACCTCTCTGTAGGGCAGTTCACAGCATGGCAACTGGTGCGAATCAGAATGAGCAGACAGGAGCAGCAGGACAGAAAGCAGGGTCTTTTCGTAACCTGATCTCAGAAGTAACATCTCATCACCTTGGCTAAACTCTTTTTACAAGAAGCAAATCACTAGCTCCAGCCCATCTGCATATCCAAGGGTGAAAAAGTTCCACATTTAGGTGTGGGTACCAGCAGAGTGATCACCGGGGACATCTTAGAGGCTGCCCATCACAGTGGCAGTGGCTCCAGAGGAAATAACGTGCCAATCTCTCTTACTATTGAAGAGTTCTGTTGAGAGCCTGAATCGTGGCCTGGGTGCACAAGGTAGACAGGGACAGTTCCAGCAGCAGGGAAAGAGCTTTGGCTGGAGGGGGGTTATATATGTGGTTAGAAATGCAAATCAGATTAGAAGGCAAAACTGAAAACTGTTGGAGAGTTTGAGAGATACAAAAAATGATTACAGAAACAAGCTGAGAAAATAGACACATAACAAGAAGTGAAATAGGGATACATACAAAGACCTATTTGTAATAGAATGTTCACCAAAGAGAATTAACCAAAAACAATGTCCAAAACTAAAGGATTGATTTAAAAGTTGCAGTATACCTGTGTGATAGAATACCATGTAGCTGTTGAAGATATTTTTTTTAGAACAGTGGCTTTTTAACATTTTTAACCACAAATCACAGTAATAAATCTGTTTTACACCAAAAATAAGTATACACAATTATTTTAAGTGAAATAAAAACTTCATAGAGGATGCTTATCCTTTATACATAAGACTCACTTTCACATTTTTTACTTTATCCTATTTTTTTTATTGTGGCAAAATAAACATATCACAAAATTTACCATTTTAATCATTATTAAGCACATAGTTCAGTGGCATTAAATACATTCACATTGTTGTGTGAATATCACCACTATCAATCTCCAGAACTTTATCAACTAAAACTCTGTACACATTAATCACTCCCATTTCCCCTTACCCCAGTCCCTGGTAACCACCATTCTATTTTGCGTCTCAATGAATTCTACTACTTTGGATAACTCGCATAAGTAGAATTATGCAATATTTGTCCTTTTGTGATTGGCTTATTTCACTTAACATGTTGTCTTTAAAATTCATCCATGTTGTAGAATGTGTTAGAATTTCCTTCTTTTTTAAGCCTATTATTCCATAGTATATATATGCCACATTTTGTTTATTCATTCATCCGTTGATGAACACTTGGATTGTGGATGCACCTGGAGCAAAAGTATGAAGCTCTCCTATGATCCATCCTTGTTGAATCACAGTGTCCTAAGCTGCAGCTAAGGTCTCGTTGATTTGAGAAGCATATTCTGTAGAAGTACCCAAATGTAGTCCACCTGGTGTGCACCATAGCTGAGATTGACAAGAATCACACTTGAACTTTATCAACCTTGAAAAGAAATTTGTTTTTTGTCATTTGGTTGCATGAGGTTTATAGAGATTATTCTGAATCTGGGCTTTAAATTGAGAAGTTATCTTTCAGGGATCCATAGATCCTGGTTCCAAGAGAAAAAAGAAAGAAAATTAGGGAAGATGTACACCCTAAGAGAATCCTTTTGGAGACCTGTCTCAGTGGTAGAAACTTACTCTTATGTCTTGAATTTCATTTGTTCATTAATTTTGCTAACATCTATTGAGTGTGGTGTCAGGCACAGTGCTAGGTGCTGGAACTATGAGAATGAACAAAACAAAATACTGGCCCTAAAAGACCTCATAAATCTCTTACTACGAGAGAGACAAGTCGATCATTTAACAGATTGTCACAAGTGATGCAGCTAATTTTGTAAGGTTACTCTGGAGACAGACACTATGAGCACCCGATCCCACTTGGGTGAGTAGGAAGGCCTCCAGGAAGACAGAAGAATCTGGAAGAGAATATTTAAGGCATAAAAAGTGGCACGCACAATGGATAGAAGCAGTTAAGAATTTAGGATTTGCCAGTAATTCCAGTGCCCTAGTGTGTGACAGGGTAAGAAGGCCATAGTGGGCCTGGCGTGCCAGGAGAAAGAGTTTGGATTGTATCCTGTGGTTACAATCCACAGGATACATGGAAAGATTTTAAGCAGGAGAATTATTTGGCTATATTTGTCTTTTGGAATGAACTTTAGCAGCAGTGTGGGCTAAAATGAAGGGAATGCTGAAAGAAATGAGACCAGGAACAATAATCAGGAATGCTGTAATTGTCCAGGAACAAGATGCTGAGGATCTTACTTAAAGCATGGTCATGAGAGATGAACAGGAAAGACAGACTCAAGATAAGTTCAGAAGATAGACTTGAAAGACTTAGAACTGATAGGCTGAGGGCAAGGGAGAATTAAGATTAGATGTCTGGCTTGCTGACAAATATTAAATGATTCTAGTAAACTGATAATGAACCATTAATTGTCTTTTTCCAAGCAGTCTGATGGCGAGAGATGTTTGATGATTTGCTCGAGATGTAGCTGGGCCCCCTTCCTAGGTGGCACATCCTGCAAGCTTCTTTCTTCCATTATCCTGGAGGCAGATTCATGGAAAGTCTTAGAGGTTGGAAACTTATCTGTGCAAGATGACTGAAGGCAAAAACGGTGGAAAAGAAGCAAGGAGAGAAACAGCTATTGAAACTAGAACTTGGTACCTAGCGTTAGACTAAAGAAAGCAGCAAGGAAAGTCTGGAAGTAGAAATAAACCACCATGCCCTTAGCTGGGAAGAATGACGCAAGCAGCTCAGGCCACAAATGATTTAAATAAGACTGTGAGTGATGTGAAGATGTTGGCAGTCTACTTTTTAAAAAAGAGCTTTATTGAGATATAATTCATGTATCATATAATTCACCCATTTAAAGTGTATAATTCAGTGGTTCTTAGTATGTTCGCAGAGTTGTGCAACCGTCACCACAATCAATTTCAGAATATTTTCATCACATTATAAAAAAACTCTATAAACATAAGTGGTCATTCCCCACTTCTCTCCCCTCCCCCCACTTTTTCTCTTCCCCCACCCCTAGCTCCAGATGATCACTTACCTATTTTCTGTCTCAATATATTGGCCCATTGTGAACCCATTTTAAAAACATATTCCTCTTATCTGACTGTAATTGTATATCCTTTGATCAACTTTTAACTGGTTCTTGCTGCAAAATTTTTTTGGGTACTTGTTTGCTTGAAGGACCACACAGGGCGAGTGGGGTAGGCGATAAGTGAAGGAAGAAAGTTTCCTAAAACCTCCGGTATTGGAATCATGAACTGCCTAATCAACTGTCCTCATTCATAATGGACCATGCTATATATACCTTCAAAGTGAAATTAAATAATAAAGTTACATGAAATAACATGCTAAAATAAAAGTGGGTAGAATGATTACAATGGATAGCTAAAACCACTGTTTGACAGCGCTAGTGTAACCACTCACAGGCAAGCAAGACTCTGAGTTAAGGTTGCTGCAAACAGTAAATTGGATGTGCCTGGTCAAAGGACATGATTCTGTAATAGTGGGGCTGAAGGCATTCCCCATGGACTTCTCTGGGTGACTTCCAGGACACAGTGATAATGAGCCCCAAATCATTTCCTTGGAGAAATCCTAGGGATTAAGCTATGCTGCTTTATGCAAATGTACTTGTTTCATATCACCAGATTCGTAAGTGCAGAGAGAGAGAAAATGTCCCCGCTAATCAATGGAGGATATGGAAGAAGGACTGATCGTGATAATGATAATGATGGTGAGGATAATAATGATAATGATAATGCGATGCATTTGAGGGCTCACTCTGTGGCAGGCACTCTCCGAAGGACTTTGCACAACCCTCCATTTAGTCCTCAACCTGCTCCTCAGGTGCCTCTAACTACACGGGAGGAGGCTAGGTTCAAGAGATATTAAGTAACTCTCATGCTGATATACTTAATAAGAGAAGCAGAACCAAACCTGGATCTTTCTACTATGCTACTGATGTATCTCTGAGTTTGAGTTTCTTCGTCTGTAAAAGAGAAATAACAGTATCCGTACATGCTCATTAGGTGATGTGCTATGGAGACTAGGTTAGTTAATACCTATAAACTTTCTAGAACCCTGCCTGTCATCTAGTAAGTGCTTAAGGAATATTAGCCATTGTTTTGTATTATCATTTTTATTCTACACTACTTTTAATATTAGGAAAAAGAGAGGCCACATTTTAAGAAAAATGTGCATGGCAAGGAAGTAGAAATGCACACACATGAAGTCACTGAAAACTGCACTTCTTTTCTGCTTTCAT